TTTTCTCTATTTGGATTAAGTACCCCCCCGGAACAAGGGTCGGTGCATCCCCAATGTCTCAAAAGGGTGCCAGGTCACTTATCCCCTTACGCTTAGGTACAGGTCTGTGCATGTCTAGTGAGAAACTCTGTGACTTTTGGGTCGACTTTTCCCCTTTTCGGACTCAACCAAACTACCTCGGGCTTCCCCGAGGCATCCAAGTCAAAGGCTTATCCCTAACGGACGCCTAGTCAACGTGGGAAATCCAATTCCAGAACCCCCCCTAAAACATCCCCCATACCCAGCACCCGAGTAGTTGGATTACAAGAGTGCACCACCACTCCCATTACCGTTATTATTCATTCTCGTTATCATTTGATATTATTTAGAAAAAAAAAAAAAATTATTTTTAATTCCAGAATCTCCAGAGATAATAATAATAATAATAATAATAATAATATCGAACGATGACGGCGACAATTTAAAATTAAAATTTTATAAATAAATAAAATTCAAATTTAAATATTTCGGAAACTCTTGGTTTTAAATAATTTAACAGATTAATAATAATAATATCGGATCCCTTTTATTATTATTATTATTATTATTATTATTATTATTATTATTATTATTATTAATTTGATTATTTACGAGAAGGGAAGGGATAAATTAAAAATTTTAAATTTTTTTTCTTATTTAAAATAATAATAATAATAATAATAAAATTTCGTTGAATTAAAATGACCGTTAAAATTTAGTAAATTAAAATTAAATTACCGATTCCCAAATGAATAAGAAATAAAATTATTATTATTATTATTAATATTTCTTTTGTCCGTTTGTTTGTTGTTGTTAACGACGCCATATTTAATTCTACGATTAAATGAAAAAATTAAAAAATTTTAATTTTTTTTTTTTTTTTGAATTATTATTAATAATAAAACGAACCGTATAAAAGAAAATTTCATTCTTCTTTTTTTTTTAATATCGAAAACGTCTTTCCTGCCCTCTCCTTCCCCCCCCCTCAGCCGTTTTACACTCTTTCCCCTTCTCCTTATTAAGTAGGCTTTTAAATACGCGTAAAAGAGAAATTTTTGTTTGTTCGTTTGTTTGCTTGTTTGTTTTTGTTTTAATTAAATTCGTATTTAATAAATCCTCCCTCCTCGAATTTTTTTTTTTTTTTCATAGAATTTGTGCGACGGGAAAAAAAATGGCGTGTGGCGGTTATTTATTTTTTCTCCAGTTTTTTAATAACTGGACATATTTCCCCCCTCCCCTTTCTTCCTCCCCCCTTTTTTGTCTTCATTTTTAAAAGTTGTTGATTTTGAAAAGAAAAAAAAAATTAAAAATTAATGAGAATGAGAAAAATACGAGAGAAAATCAGTATAAAACAAATAAATAAATAAATAAAATTTTCTGAAAAAAAATAATAATAATGATGATGATGATGATAATAATAATAATAATGATAATGAAACGCACTCAATTGAAAATTAAAAAAAAAAAAAATTTCTAGAAAAAAAATTTTAAAAAATTCACGAATTTGCTTCCACGTTTCAATCATTTTTATTTATATGTCGTTTCTTGTTTGTCGTCGTTGTTGTTCTTGTTGTGGTTGTTGTTGTTATATTTAGACATTTATATTGAAAAGCAGACGAAAAAAAAAAATTTTTAACTTTTAGTGGTTTAAAACTTAAATTAAATTAATTAAAATATTAAATTTTTTTTTTTTACTTCCTTTCTTTCCTTCTTCCTTCGTTTTTTTCTTTTTTGCTTTCTCGAATCCATAACGAAGTTAATAAAATTAAACAAACCGGAAATAGTTGTTTTTCTTTTTTACCCTGGAATTACAATGATGAAGATAATAATAATAATAATAATATTTTAAAGTTAATAAAAAAAAATTTTTTTTTATTAAATAAATCCTATTTGTTCTTTTTAATTTTTTTTTCTCTCACCCTTGTATCCGGTTCTCTGCTCTCTTTTTTCCACCGGAAACCGGAAATGAAAAATTTTCTAATTTAAACATGCATCATTTTACGTTTCATTTTTCACTTTTTAACGTGTAAATAACGCGGGGGTGGGGGGGAAAGAAAACGTTTTATGTAATTTTTCAAAAGTTGAAAACGAAAAAAAAAAAATTTTTTAAATTTATTCGTTTGTCGTTTGTTACTTACAATCAACTTTTTCGTACAACACCATTATTATTGTTATCATCATCATTATTATTATTATTATTTAATAATGTTTATTGAGCCGAATTTAAAAAAATTGATGAGCCATCGAATTTTTTTTCCTTCCCAAAAATTAATTCGCAAAAAAAATTTTTTTTGTTTGTCTGCTACGTCTACCCCGTTTGTTTGTTTGTTTGTTCCGAGTTCGTTTTTTTTTCACTTTTTAATTCGCATTTTCATTACGTTACGTACGTATTATTATTATTATTATTATTATTATTATTATTATTATTAAATTAAATCCGAACAATTTAATTTTATTAATTTTTAAGTTAAAAAAAAAAAAACAAGTTATAATAAAAAGAATTTTTTTTTTTTTTTGTCTGAAAAAAACTTGATAAAAAAAAAAAAATTTTTGAAGCAGAAGACAAAGATAATAATAATAATAATAATAATAATAAAAAGTTTTTATGTTTTTTTTTTTTGCCTTTGACTGGAGCCAACATTTAAAATTATTTTTTTTTATTTTTGTGCTTTTGAATTTCATTTTGAACCTTTTTTCTTCATGTCCTTAAAAAAAAAAAATTTTTTTTTTTTTTTGAATCCAGCATAAATTTTAATTTCTCTTCTCTCTCTCTCTCTTTCTCTCTCTCTTTCTCTCTCTCTTTCTCTCTTTTCGTTATAAATAACTTCTCGTAAAAATAATAATAATAATAACAGTAGTGATGGTGATAATAAGACGAATCGCATGCGTAAACATAAAAAGCCTCTTCCTAAGATATTTTTATTTAACTTAATATTATTATCATCATCATCATCATCATCATTATTATTATTATTATTATTAGTTTATTTTAATAAATTTTCTTTTTTTGGCAAGTAAAATTTTCAGGAGCGTCCGATAATGTCGTGGTAGCAATAATAGTAATAGTAATAGTAAAAAAAAAATTTTTTAAAAAGGAAGAAAAATTTCCAGCAGACTAAAAATGGGGAGAGAGTGGGGAGGGAGGGAGGAAGGGGAGGTAAGGAAAGGAAAATAATATAGAGTAAAATCTAAAAGAGCAACACGTAAATATCCGGGGCTCGATAAAAAAAAAAAAAAGAAAATTTCATCGTTGAAAATGTTCTTACGAATAGCCGCCATTAAAAAAAAAAGAAAAATTTTTTTCCCCCGTTAGCGGTAGTGGTAGTGGCAGTAGTGGTGGTGGTGATGGTGGTGGTGGTACTGATCAAATTCAAATTTGCAATCGACAGATCCAAAAATAAAAATAAAAAAGAGAGAAAAAACCAAAATGCAAAGATCAAAAAACCTTCTGACACGACAAAAAAAATGAAATGATTTAACGTTAAAAAGAAAACGTTTGTGAAAAATCATCGACACGATTTTTTTCAACTTCCGGTTTCGATAAATAAAATTAATAATGGCGTAAATTAAAATTGATGGGTATAAACTTTTCAAAACTTTATTTTAAAAAAAAAAACAACCAAACGATTCGTTTTGTAAAACAACCGGAAATTTTCCAAAACCCTTTTTTCAAAAAACCAAAGTAGAATTCAACAACAACAAACATGATCAAAACATAATTATGTTGTTGTTGTTGGTGAGAATCTACGTCACAAAACATAATAATCTAGAATTCATAACGGAAAAATAAAAAAAAATTTCAATACGTCATAATAATAATAATAATAATAAGTAGCACACTTATATTACTTTTTTTTTTATTTTTAATGAGATAAGTTTTCTTTTTGTTCTTTATTATTATTATTATTATTATTACGTGCATTCGAAATTTTAAAAAAAAATTTTCTTCTTCTTCTTAATTTTTTTCCTAACGAGTTATCATAAAAAGAAAAGTTTGTCTTCTGCTACAATTAAATAATGAATCATCATTCGTTTATGTATAATTATTACTTACATAATTGGAAAAGTTGTAACGACCGGGAAAAAGTTTACTATGTGAAATAACAACAACAACAAACAACAAACAACAGTAACAATAACACAAACAACACAATTTTTTTTTATAAATTAGGTAAAAACAAAAGAAAAACTAAAGAAAAAAAACTCGATCGCGATTTTTTTTTTTTCGACTCCGGAAAACTTGATCACTTCTTAACTGTTTTTATTTTTTATTTTTTGGAAAAGCTTCCTACCTCCCCAGAAAAAAAAAAAATCGAAATTCGACCCGTCGTAATTTATCGTTAATTTTTTCGATTTTTGGGGGGGGTGGGAAAAGAATAAAAGAAAATTTTTTTTTTATTTTTTTCGGGGCGCGACGTAAAAACCGATTTTCCCGTTATATATATTATATATATTCCAAATGCCGGCTCCGACGAGTTCTGATTCATCTCTCTCTTTTCTTCTCTTTCCTTTTCCTCTTCCTTCCCCCCTTCCCCCGCCCCTCCACAGAGAGAGAAAGAGAGCTTGCCCAAATATTCTTCTGCCACGCTTCTTTTACGCATCTCAATGCAGCTTTTCAAGTCCCGCCATTCAATGCGCTTGTCCGACATAATAATAATAATAACAATTTTTTTTTAAACCCATTTATTTTATTTTTTTCTGTTTGTTTTATTTTTCTCGTTTGTTTGTTCTTTTGTTTGTTTGTTTGTTTGTATTGTTTTTACCTTTTTTTTAACTTAACGAAAATTATATAGTTTTTTTTTTTTAAGAATTAATTTGATTGGTCGTCGAATTAAAAATTTAAATAAAAGTTTTTTTTTCATTGGACGATTTAAATTATGGTTTTTTTTTTGAACCAATCCAATTCATTTATTTTACCTGTGACGTAATTTCGCAATATTTTCCATCATCTTCGAATGTAGCGTCGTTGGGTTCGTTCGTTTTTACGTTTCCGGTACGTAAATGGAATCACCGACGGAAACTTTAATTTTTGGATATTCCGACCGGAAACCCAAATAAATTCCCATACTAGGACTAGGCATGACTTGACGTTTTCTAGGATCTCTTAAACTTCTGTACCTGAAAAAAAATAAAACAAAATAAACGGTTATATTTATGTAAAAAAAAAAAATGGCGGAAATAAATTGATAAAAATTTTTATTACCTTTTCATCGAAGTTAGAGGTTCCATACTTTTTGACCTTTGACCCGTATTAGGATTAACCGTCGTAAATATGCATCTGAAATTTATTACGTATATATATAATCGCCTTATAAAAAAAAGAATTTTCCGGGTTTTTTTTTTTATCGAGGTCATATAAAATTTTTCATTTACTTCCGGTTTATTGAAAATATATCAACGTACCTGGTACAAGGTGAAATATTTTTAAAAACGGCTTTACCGATTTTAATCCATTCCCAATTATCTTCTTCGAAGGGTAATAATTTTTCACCCTTCACGACAAAATTAGGGCGAAAATTTAAAGATGATATGACTTCGCCATTCGATCTCGTATTTAAATATTCCGTCGATGCATCCGATATCAAATGATATGAAACTGATTCTGAAAAATAACCCTAAAACGACAACAACAACAACCTTTTCAGTTACTTTTTTGGGGGGGAGGAGGGGAGAAAGGGAGGGGGTGTAAAAAAAAAAACCAACTCCGTCATCATCCGTCAATGATATATTCGATATGTCCGTCATTTTTGTTATTTTCGGATTAACTTTTTTAGGTTTTTCCGGTGACGCATAATAAAAAAGCCTTAAACCTTTTTCTTCTTTCAATATACATTTCGATAACCATTTTGCGACATTTTCACCACAATCCCAACCTTTCATCTTGTCGATACAAACGCTGAAAAAAACAAAAAAGCGTCGACAAATTAACAACTTATTTTTCGCGTTATGAATAAAATTAAAAGAAGACGACAACAAACTCGATTGTTTTGATGGGTCCCCCACGTATATCATTTAAAGAAAATTCAACTTGTGTCGTCATATCCGGAGATGATAAAGTCACGACAGGACCCGTAAATTTTGGATTTATTTGACTTAATCTCGGATATGCTTTCCCTGAAATTACTTTACCATTGTCATCGAAAACTCCAAATATTCTATTAAAAAAAAAAAAAAATTAATTAAAATTAAACAAAAATACGATGATGATAATAATGATAATATATCGTACCTGTCTCTCAAGGTTCCATATTGGGGTCCCAATGGTGTGCAATCAAAGGAATTCGGTTTTAGCGCTTTGCACGATTTGATTGGATAAATGCAAAGTTCGGATATTTCACCGATTTTAAACCAATTTTTGGGGGGTTTTGTTTTTATGTAATTATTATACCACCAAGCACCGTAAATTAAACCGGAAACGGTTACGACAGTACCAAATGTTAACAATTTCGAATTGTTATCTGTTTTTTTAAAAAAAAAAAAATTCGTTATTCGAGAAATGATTTTTTATTACCTTTTTCCTTTTAATTCCCTTCCTTCCTTCCTTTCTTCCTCCCATTTTTCTCTTTTTCCCGGTCCGCCTCCCCCCCCCCACCCACGTAATCGGGTACTTTTTTTATTCTCACGTAATTAATACGAATGGTTGCGTTTTCTTTTGTTTGTTGAAAAATTTTTTTTTTTTTTTCCATATCAAATTTCGTTTTTTGTGTGAATTAAGAATTAATTTTAGATTAACATGAGAATAAAACACAAAAAAAAACTAATTAACCTTTTTAATTTATGTCGAGTAATTACGATTATATGATAATAATAATAATAATAATAATAATAATAATAATAATGAAATATGAAGGTGTTGCATTAAAACGGACGCCATTTTTTTTATTTTATAATTTAAATCGATAAATCGTTAAAATTAAATAAACGAATATAAACAAACCAATTTTTTTTAAAAATTTATTATTATTATTATTATTATTATTATTAATATTTTTATTTATGAAAGAAGTGATGATGATAATAATAATTATTATGATAGACTTTGTTTTAAATTTAAATTATTATAAATAATAAAAAAAAAGGGGGTAAAACTTTGTGAGAAAATTTTAAATTTTTTTTTTTAGTTTTTCTTTTTTCTCCAGTTTTCTTTTAATTAATTTATTTATTTATTAATTTTTTTTAAAAATGTTAATAACGCAAAAAGCAGAAAATAATAAAACGTTTCATTTTTTTTTAAATAAATCAAAATAAATAAATAAATAAAAAATTATGGAGAAAAAATCATAACAATAACGATTTTTCCTCCTTTTTCCCCTTTTTTCTTTTTTTTTTTTTTTTTGTAAATTTTATTTTTAAGAAACCTCAATAATAATAATAATAATAATTTATTTATTTATAATAATTAACTTACTCGACATGATTTAAAAAAAAAATTATGAATCGATAATAATCGGATTCCAGTTATTTATTTAATTTCCAGAAAATTTTGAATTTGAAAAAAAAATTTTTTTTTACACTAAAAAAACGCACACAAAAATACAAAATGTCCCGAAACTAAAAAAAAAAAAAAAAAATAAATAAATAAAAAGTTATATTTTCATTATAAAATTTGATTTAACAATGATGGAATTTTCTAGAATTTTTTTTTCTAATTACCCTTTTGGTAATTATATTTTTTTTTTTTAACAAACCTGAAACTAATTACTTCTTCTCCTTTTTATTTCCTTCTCCCCCACCTTCTTTTTTTTGTTTTTTAACCGATAACGATATTCTCTCATACGTCATCAAGTTTGTAACGTTAACAATATAAATAATAATAAAAATAATAATAATAATAATAATAATATATATAAAAGAAAATTTAAAAAAAAAAAAAAAAAACAAAAAAAAATTATTAATTTGAATTGATCGGATTTAAATGTTTTATTATCATTATTATTATCATTATTATTATTGTTTTTATTATTACTATTATTATTGTTATTATGGTTATTATTATTATTATTATTAATAAAAGTAAAATATTATAAATCTTATTATTTTATTTAATGTTTATTACCGAAACGATTTTAATTTAAATTTTCCGATATTTTCCCTTATTTTTTATCGTTTCGAAAACAACAACAGCCACAACAACCACAACAACAACAGCAACAGAAACAACAGAAACAACCGAAATCGTTTTAAATCAAATTCTCAACGAGTACAAAAGAAAATTAATCATTTATTTGTTTTTTTTTTTTTTTTAATTATTTTAAATCGATTTATTCTTTTCTATTTTCTTACATCTCGAATGAATCGAATTAATAAATTTATCAGATTTCAAAGAAATAATAATAATAATAATGATAATGATAATATCGATTTTATAATTAATTATAAATTATACAAAAAAAAAAAAAAAGCAAATTGATATGAATAATATGTTTCATCCTTTTTTTTCTCCTTATCCAGACAAATCATCCCGTTTCCCCCCCCTACTTTCTCCCTCACTTAACCCCCCTCCCGTTTGCCCTAAGGTCCTTTTTAAAACCCTCCCCACCCCCTCCCACCATCACCCTTTTCATTCCTTCTTTATATAAATTAAAAATTAATATTTAAAAAAAAAATTGATGAATAACACCACGCGCTTTTATTATTATTATTATTATTAAAAATATTATCATTATCATCATCATCATGGATACTATTTAAAATTCGAACTTTACAAATATTTAACAATTTAAAAAAAGTTTTTAATCAAAATTTAAATTAATAATTATTATTATGTAACAATGAGAAGGGTAAAAGTATAATTAAATAAAATTTATTATTATTATTATTACTATTATTATTATTATTATTATTATTGTAAAGAATTCGATTCGATTCGGTAAACGATAAACGATAGATAGAAAATTTTGATTATTATTTAATTAATAAATTCATTGACGCGGGTTATTGTGATTACAATATAAAAACGGTTGCCATTGATAACTAATTAAAAAAAAAAGCGAATAATTTATAATTAAGAAAATTCATGGGGAAAATTTCTATTCATTCATTAACCGACCTCCTGTCAATTCATAAATTCAAATATATATCGAAATATATATCGAATAATCGATATCGAAAATCGATATCGTTAAACGTCAATAAAAAAAAAAACGCGCAATTTTTTTTGAAATTTCCAAAAATATTTCAAATTTAATTAAAAACAAAAAATTTTTTTTTCGCAATGCATTTTAAATGGGATTAAAGAACAAAACGTGACATGTTTCATTTTTTTCGCCATGTGTTTTAAATGGGGTTGTTAAAACAAAACGTGACATGTTCAAGTTTTTTTTCTCAATGCATTTCAATTAGAGTTCTTTAAACAAAACGTGATATGTTTAAATTTTTATCTCAATGTGTTTTAAATGGGATTGAAAAACAAAACATGTCATGTTTAATTTTTTTTTGCAATGTATTTTAAATGGGGTTGTTTAACAAAACATATCATGTTTAATTTTTTTTCCAATGTATTTTAAATGGAGTTGTTATACGAAACGTGATATGTTTAAATTTTATTTTTTTTAATGTTTTTTTGTTACTCAAATTATTATACCAGAGAGAGAGAGAGAGAGAGAGAGAGAGAGAAAACTCGTACTTAGATTAAGAAAACAAGGAAAAATTTAAATTATTTATTCAATTGTTATGGATAACGATAACGTTCGTAGAAAAACAAAAAAAAATTATAACAGTAATAATAAAAAGATTTATAAAACCAAGCAGAAGTATTTTTTTTTTTCCATAAAATAAATTTAATGAATTTTTTAATATAAACGTGAATAAGGACAAGTACGTTCAGAAACCGTAAAAAAAAAAAAAAAATTTTTTTATTATGTTTCGTAGACGATGAAAAAAAAAATAATAATAATTTTATTTTTGTAACTCGGGAATATTAAATAATATTTAAAATAATAAATAATTAATTATTATTTGATAAAATAAATAAATAAATATTCATATTTGATTCTTTTTCTTTTTATCCTACATAAAATTTTATATATTTTAATATTTTTATTTTTTTTAAATTCATCATTTTTAACCCCTTTTATATTTAATATTAAAAATTCATATTTTTATGGATATTAATAAAAAAAAAAAACATTTTACTTTTACGATACGCGGTTATAAAAGTTATTTACAATTTTTTCTTAAAAGATTTAAATAAAAACTGCGGTACATAAAACGATTTTTTTTTTTTTTTTAATTTGTAACTTAAAACTTTTTCTCTCTTTTTCCACGAGTTGCAGTTTAATATTAAATCTCGTATTAGTTTAATAAATAAATCAATATGTCTTCCATTTTACCTTTAACAT